AAAAAAACGACAAACATACGTTAAATAATCTAAAAGAATTTGTCCTTCTTGTTCAATAGTTGCACATGCTTCAATTGCTCCTTCATGTTGTTCTATTAAAGCTTCAAGCATTTCTTCACAATTAGTAGCAATCATTTCATGATCATCATCATCACCACCACCACTTCCTGTTGTTGACCAAACAAGTTCAACTTGTGCTAACCAATCTGAATACTTTAATAAAAAAAAACAAAAAAAAAACCAAATAAACATAACAAAAATATCAATAATTTATAATAAAAACAAACTTCTTCACAATGTGTATGAAAATTAAGATTAACATCAAGTATATATCGACGACGAGCAACACGTTCATCAAATTCACGCATACGTCGTTCAAGATCATGTGCTAATTGATAAATTTTTGTTCGACCTTGATTTAATTGTTTATCAGTATTATCTTCTTCACTTTTTTGATTATTATTATTATTATTATTATTATTATTATTATTACTATTTATTTGAGATTGTTTTTGTTGTTGTAATTGTTCATTATACATATTATCAGCAGCAGCTATTAAATTTTCTGCATTAGTTTTTGTATTCTATAAAAAGAAAATTTATAAAAAAAAAAAGAAAAATCAAATCAAACTTTTATAGCCATTTCAAAATCTGTATGCATTTTATCAAGTTTTTTTGCTTGTCGAAGTGATTTTCCAATACCAACAGCAAGATTTTTTTGTAAAAATGCATCACCATGTTTTTCAATCCAATCAAGAATCTAAAATAATAATTTCTATGTTTAATTAGAATAAAATATTTCGTCAAAAAAAAAAAAAAAAAAAAGACAAAAATAACCTGTTGAACATCATTAGCAAATGCAACAAAACTAAGTCTTTGTTGTAAATATCCTTTACGTTGATTCCATTTAGCATCAAGATATCGATGATTAACTAAAATCTATTTAAAAAAGAAAATAATGATTTGTAATGAAGAAATTTTAAAATTCAAATTTTACTTCTTGAACTATTTCAAGAATATGTTTAGCACCAGCACGAAAATCAAATTGATAATCATTTGTTGTCTGTTGTGATGGAGCTACAGAATCAATTATTGCTTTACCATCGTTACAGATCTATTAACGGAAAGTATATATAGATGTTTATATGAATTAAGTCTATTGAGATAAATAGTTTTTTTTTTTTTTCTATTCATGTTATTAAAGATTTTTGAGATGAAAACGTTAAAGAATGTCTTATGAATTCTTCGAACAATGTTTTAAATGACATAATAGGAACATAAAAAAGAAGAAACATGATAATTAAAATCTTGAAATCCATCAATAGGGTTTTTTTTTTAAGAAGTTTTAATGAACGATGAATTGATCATATGTAACGTAATGCAATTATATAAAATGATGCATAGTATCTAAGGTGTGGATACGGCTATTCTGTGTGTCCACACTCTAATTATCACATTTCTTCTGGTTATATCATTATTATTAAGAGAGATAATGTCATCAGATCATATGTCATTTAAAACATCGTTCGAAGTACTCGAAGCTCATATAGATATAGTTGAGTAGGGATTACTCTTTATTTATATATATATATAGCCTAGTTTTTATTGAGGCCCAGAACTTATGTTCATTGTGCAGATTCAAAGAAGTTTTGAATCTTCTGAAAAAAGTTCAGACGCTTAGTTTATTGTTGTGAAGAAGATATTGAAAATTTTACAGGAGTTTTTAACCTGATAGACATGCTCAGTAGATATTCTTGATCTACATTTTGCCTGATGTCAATCATTGGAAAAATTTTTTAATACGAAAACTAATTTTTTGTATTATTAAAAATTCGAAACAAAGAACTCAATTCAGATTAGATTATTTTTAATTCATAGACATACTTGAGCATAAATTCTTGAAATATTTTCTGATAAATTAAAATGTTGTTGAAGTAAACGTTCTAAATGTTCCATACTTTCAATTGTTGTTAAATCATCTGTTAATGAACATAAATGTTTCCATGTTGGTACTTGTACAAGATACTATAAATGAAAAAAAAGGAAAGCAAAAAAATTTTTTTTGTTTTTTGAACAAAAAAAAACACCATTTTATTTTACTTCATCAGCTTTTTGATGAAATTGTAATGAAGCTGTTAAAATATTTGTACGATTATCAAGCAATCGTGTTAAACTTTGCCATTCATCATTTAAACGATTCATTTGACTTTTAATAGCATTGGTTGCATAATGTCCACTTGCTATAAGTCGATCACCAACATTTTGTGTTCGACGAATAACTGTTTCATTATTCTAAATTTAAATTTATATTTATTAAAAATAAAAAATAAAAAAAAAACAATAAATATCGATTAACTTACTAAACAAACTTTAGCAAATTGTTCATGTTCAGCTAAGAGTTGCATAGCTTGTGAACAACTTGAACCAATATCAGTATATTTTGGACCAAGAATTGAACGACTATTTCCAATCCATGCACATAACTTTAATAAAACAAAAATTCTCTTATGATACATTATGACAGAAGAGAAAGCATAGGTTTTAAATTGTTTATGAAGTTAATACATATGATTTAGAGAGTCTACCGAGATTTATTTGAAATTATCACAAATGACACCTACCGTTTGAGTTCATAATGAACTTATAGGTAGATCTCAGTGGAAATAGCAAAAGCTTAAAAGGGAATCATGAAGTTTTGATCCAAAATTTTGCCTATAGATAAGTCTAATGATTCTTAGACTTATCTATAGGCAACATTTTAGATCGAAATTCTATGATTTGTTTTTTTTTCGGAATTATCCCCTAAATCAATCATAACTTGGCGTCAAATCCTTTTAGGTTTTTGCTAGTCTCATTGAGGCCTACCTGTAAATAGTCCAACAGTCACTTTATCGAAGAAAATTTTCATTAAATGCTCTGATTTGTCTACCACTGATAAATGAGTATTCATAAGTCATATTCACTAATTTGAAGTATTATCATTAGCTTCAATAAAAATAACAATAACCTTTTACGAGTTATGAAATAGTAATATAATTATTTCCTTGATCAAAAAGTAAATTATATATAATTCTTTTTCTATTACTTCTTAAGACTATTGTCATTTGATGTGTAAATTTATATCACAGATACATGTCTTGTATCTTACTAGTTACAGTTCTTTTTTTTGAAGTCAACGATAATACTTCAAAAGTAGTGAATATGACCTACGAACAGTCTTTCATTATTGGTAATAAAAAAAAGTTGTTAGCGCAATTCCTGTGAGATTAAGCTGTGAAATACGATGAAGTTGTTAGTATTGTAAAAGAGAAGATTAATCAATATATGTTTCAGTTTATATCTACTGTTACTGCAATGTAATGAAGTGGGTGTCAAAGAAAAGTGAAGGACAATTATTATACAAATCCCCCAATGGAATTTAATCTCGTGACTATGTCAGTCACATTTGTGGGCGGATCCAAATTTCTATACACTCTTTTTATATCATATTTCATAAAATGAACTCATTTGGTAATAGAAAAACTGCTGGCTTAATTAAAGTTCCAGTAAATCTGCCACGATGTTCCTCAGCTATAGTACCTCTTTCTATGTGTGTGTGTGTATTGATCAAACATATTGAATCAATTCGTTCAAATTCTCCTGCATAGATGAAAACATCTCGAAATTATCAATCGGACTCGATACAAAAATCTATTCTTTTTAATTCGTAGAATATTAATTTGTAATCAAATATAAAAATATTTTATTTACTCGATCACAATCTTGTTCAAATAATCTTAATTGTAAATTTTGTTCTAAACGATTTTTTTTCTGATGCCATAATTGAAAACAACGTTCTTTTGCTGAACGAAGGTTATCCATTACCTTAGGAGAAAAACAATAACATTTTTTTTGTTTTGTTTTCTACAATTTTTAAAATAAAATTTTTTGATTACTTACTAATGAAATTTTTCTTGCTTCATCAAAATAATCAAATGGATATGTTCGTTGTTGATGTGCTTTTAATAATAAATTTTCATTTTCTAAATTATTTCCTCTTAACATATTTAATAAATGTTGTCCATCATTTATTAATGGTTCAATATTAACACGTGATAATTGATCTTTAAATACTGTCATATGTGTTTCAATAGCATCTTGTGCTCGAATAACATTATTCGATAGATCAACTTGTTGAAGTTCATTATAAAGTAATTCATATGCATGTAAAGTTTCTTTTGAATTATATACAAATGATTCTAAATTCTTAATTTACGAAAAAAAAAAAAAAAAAGTTTTTTTTTATATTGTTTTTTTTAATTTTCGACTTACTAATCGAAAATCTAACCAACGAATATGATTATATGGAAATGTTCCATTTAAATCTGCTGTTAATTGATTACGATCAATAGCATACGTTAAACTTTCAAGTGATTCAACAGAATGCTAGAAACAAAGGAGATGTTAGGATAAAGTCGATTTTTTTTT